TTCTCCTTCTCCCCCGCCCCTTTCACCCCGTCTCCCTCCCGCTCCCCTTCCCCCTTCCAGTCCCGGTCGCGGTCCCGATCGCCATTCGCCGGCGACTCCGGGGAAGCCGTGGGCCTCTACGACGTATCCGACGCCGGCATCCGCCTGTCCGGCAATTTCCGGAGCATGATTCGCGCCATTCGTCGGCACCGAGACCGACAGCGAAAAACAAAATCGAACACACCGCCGATCACGATCTGTCCCCGAAATGAAACGTACAGGTGAGTCAGAAAAGGGGCCGTGCTCAAATTCCGTGTTTAAGGGGCCCAATAAACAAGAAACACTCACTTATAGTCATTTGCGACTGCTTTTGACTGTCAAAGTAAGTCTCTTTCTGCACTAGCCAGTCAAAATTTAGGCATAAAGACTCACTTGGACAGTCAAGAGCAGTCAAATGACTACAAGTGAGTTATACGTGTTTACTGGGAGTTGAGGTACTCTTTTCATATGCCTCATTTGAGTCTAGGGTTGATTGTGGAAGCTTTCCAAACGGCATAAGAAAGTTACTTTCTATCTAAGGGGATGGGTATATCATGACTTGCCAAAAGTTCGTCCGTTTCTCTCCGATTCATTCGGCAAATTACGGGAGAGCGGCGCCTGCGATACTCAGAGTAGGCCACCCCTCAGTACACGCATGCACTGCAGGCAAGATGTTGCCTACCCACCAGGCGCCATAAGAGCTCGCAGAGGCTGGACTTGGCAGTTTCATGACGGCAAATGACGGACTCTACTTTCTGGACCATCCCAAAGACGGCCAATCACGTCTATTTACAATCTTGGTTTGAAACGAATGTTCGTAAAAAGTATCCCAGTCGCTGAAAATTACGTAATTTGAGCACGACTCCTGCCCCTCCCCCCTAAATGATAACTATATTTCCTTTATGACACGAACACGCACGGCCACCAAAATCACCAGGTGGACATCCTAACCGGGTGTTCTTTTGCGTATCTCGCTCTCTTTTGCTCCATATTTTCCTTCCAAGTAACGAAAACGACAAGGATACAAGGTGGGCGACTAGCCCCGTTGGTCGTCGTCACTAAGTTTTAGTAACTGTGGAAACTCAAGTGTGTGCATGTACGCAGTCTATATTCAGGAGGAAGTGTAGATGCTCACGAATGCAGGAGGTAGTGTATGTACACAAGTAGAGCCGCATGCAAAAGCCATGTGCTGTTGTGGGCACTTGGTCATGTCTACACTATAGCTCCTGCAAACATAAGCATGCACACATCCTCCTGAATTCATGATCAAGGGGACGGTACCTCCTGAATACATGAAGGTATTCGGGAGGTACTGCATAATGTGCACACTTAGGTTTCCAGAGTAGTCAGTCACCAGCTACGGTGTTTTATCGCCCCAAGCGCATAGGCAACCCACTCGGCTCCTTGGGACCGACGGCTAAAGAGCCTCTGAGGCTCTTTACCGACGGCGTGATGGACGACAACCCTGTATCCTCGTAACCTCGTCGTCGTCTCCGTTCTCGAAGTGTGGGATTATCGCGCCGATGCCTAATACGTCACTGGTCAAACTCACCGGCTCTCTTGGTTGCATGTTGGGCGCAGCCTCCACGACGCGCTGGTGGTGCTGTCCAGCACGGTCCGCCACCTGTCCGTGCTGTTCGCGTCCGTGTCGTACGTCCGGCTGCGCCTCCAGGGCCGGCCCGTGGACCTCCCCTTGGACCAGCGCTACAGCGGCACCAACGGGCTGTCCGCGCTGAGCGCGCGCGCCCTGCGCCAGGCGGACCTGCTCTGCAGCGAAGTGCGCTTCCTGCACCAGTTTACGAACAAGGTGAGGCCCCATGAAAAATCGAAACGATATCAATACGATATTGAAGCAATCTCGAAACGATATCAGAAGTGTGTCACTCACAGCAATTTCAACACCCCCTCAGAATCAATTCGGCAACGAAATCAAAAAGATTATGACATTGTTTTTGGTCTGATATCGTTTTGATATCCGTTTTCCCCACTTGACCAGTGAGTTTCCTTATTTGATGCAAGTTACTGCTATACTCACAGCTCAATGAGACGGACGAGATCGTGCCGGCCGATGTCATTGTGGAGAAGAAGGACAGCTTGCCGACGTACACCATCACGAGCATCCTCGTGGTGACGGCAGTGTCTGCCATCGTCATCTACAAGTGGCGACACGGTCCGCCGGCCCTGGTCTGGTGGTGGTGGTGAAGCGTCCTGGGAATCGTTTATGATCAAATATGGAACTCATGTGATTTATGTTATTAGGACTGGTGGCATACTTGCTCTCCCAGAAACAGACTGACTGATTTAAGTGAGGAGTACTAGAGACTAATTGGGTACTTGCCAATAGGGTTGTAAGAATGTTATATTTAATAAAA